TAGGTTTGAAGAGGATTTTTGACAGGGGATATGAACGAGATGGCCTATACTACTTTGGAGATCCACTGGACCAACCACCTCCTCTTGCTAGTTTTTCAGCTTCTATGTTACTTGAGGATTCCTCCTCTTACGTTTTTTCTTTTAAGACTTTAGCATTGTGGTATGCCCGTCTAGGTCATGCAAACTTTCAATATTTATGTTTACATTTTCCCTCATTTAATAAGGCTCGTCAAACTCATAAATTTCAGTGTGTTGTTCGTGAGTTAGCTAAACATACTCGTATTACTTATATTTCTCGTATGCATTGTGTCCCTTATGTGTTTGATCTTATTCATTCTGATGTTTAAGGACCTTAACCTATTCCCGCCTTGTCTGGACAAAGGTATTATGTGACATTAATAGATGACCACACCTGTTGTACTTAGGTTTATCTCATTAAGCGTAAATCTAATGTTTTTCCCATATTTGTTCAGTTCCTTCAGATGGTTAAAACTCAGTTTTGCACTGTTGTTTGAAACATTCAGTCTGATAATGGTGGGGAATACCTCCAATGTTTTTCTTTCTCATCTTAACTAGGCTGGTATACTTCAACAACTCACTTGCCCTCATACTCATAAACAAAATGGGGTTGCAAAACGAAAAAACTGTCACATAATGTCTGTTATTCGGTATCTTCTTCCGGGTATGAATGTCTCTAAGTCTAATTGGAATAATGTTGTCCTTACCATTGTTTACCTCATTACTGCACTCCTTGGGCCTGGACGGGACTTGAGCCTAGGCGCGCCTTATCGAAGTCGCCTGGCCTGGAACACTACAAGGCGCAAACCTTGGGTCTGGATGGGACTTAGGCCTAGGCGCACACCTAGGCGTGCCTTTAATAACACTGGCCCCAAGTAGTCCAATGCACACCCAACACCTTTGCGTTCGCGCGCACGCCCGCACTTGCACACTAATGGGTGTCAAGCATGCCGTGGTGGCATTTCCATAAATTATAAATATTTGGATAATATTGAGAATTATTTCATTATTTCATTATGACTCCTCAAACATGTGGAATGTTTCCTTGTGCCAGTCAGAAAAGGGATTCAGTTGCTATTATAAAGGGGCATGGTCTGTTTCAGCTTGTCTCCCCAACCAGTGAGGGGTAACAAATAAGCAACCTTTGGGCAACCAAAAGGCGGGCCTCTGACATGCTATTGAGTGTTGTCTTTGGTCGACATGTGGGTTTGGGAACCCCATGGACGGTGTCATTGAAGGGTATGAGTGATGACATTACGCACTACTTCCTAGTGGGAGGTTTAGGCACACTTGCTATGCTACTCGTTGCAGCATATCGCGGTGTCATCTTAGATCGAATGGATTAGGCTATCGAGGCATGCCATCATTAAGGCCTCATGTGCCAACTCGTGAACATAGGCTTGGGTTCAGCCGTGAACACGAGGGTCATGTAGCCTAGTTAGCGGTTTGGTGACAATGCCGCTACTCGTGGGAACAATTGAACGTCACAAACCATTGCCATCGTGTGAGGCACATTGTGTGAAGCTTTTAGGAAGGCGGAATGCTAATTGAGGGCTATTGACATACGATATCATGTTCATGCTACATGCTAGTGCACGCCTTGGGTGCACAATGACCCTTAGTAGATGGTTTAGCATGTCAATGCGTGCATGAGGATTTCAGCTGTGGTCGCGTATGCAACCTCAGTCACCTGTGGCTATTCGAGATGGACGTAACAAGAGACCCTATTCAAGAGAGGGAAAGCTTGTCAGCTAGATTGAGGGTTCTAGATCGGTGCACGGTTGGGCAACATTGTGTTGGGTCAGTTGTGAGTCATGCTCACATTGGATGCCTTGATTGAGTTGGAGCTCAGTTCGGCGAGCGCCTAGCTCAAGGGCAAGTTTGGTGCCATGAAGAGACATGAGCCACGCAACATGCACTTGCCGGGGTTTAGCCTACTTGTGGCATGGAAGTCAGAGCTTCCTTGTGGGAGTTGTTCTTGCTAGACATAGCATTTGGGCTTGTTGGGCTTGTATTTCACACGAGGAGTTAAGTTTCAACACTTGATGGTCAAGGAGAGTTTAGGCGGGCTTGACACTTGGTGGAGTTCAAGGGCCTCACGGGCAAAAATGTTCCGCTGCGCCTCTAGAAAGTGTCGGCCCATGACACCTTTCCCTCCTCTAGGTCTTGCATCCTGTTGGGACTCTTTTTCCTCTTTTACCCCAGGTATTTGGGTGTACTTGCTTTGTCCAAAACCGAAGTCTTACTCGGACGAAGTTGGATGACAAGGCCATTAGGTGTATCTTGCTATGATATTCCACTATGTCGAAAAGGTATTGGTGTTATGATCCTGACACCCGTCAGTGCTATCATTCGTGTGATGTTACTTTCATGAGGAGCTTCTCTTTTTCGATGCTAACACTTCTATGCGGGATTCCTCTTCCACTACCATACCATTAGTTGACTCTAGTGCTAGGACTCTACCTATTTTTTATGAGGTTGAGGTTGGTTCCACCGAGCCTCCGCCTCTTTCACCTCCTCCATTGCAGGTTTATTCTCGTCGTCCTTGTCCTCTGCCAGCATCCTCTCCGATACGTGGGTTAGGTAATTCTTCATTATTGCTTCTTCTCCTCCTCGTCGTTATTCCTCAAGTAATTCTTCACCTTTAGTTATTGCTTCTTCACCTCCTCATCATTATCCCACTCATGAGAGACATCCCTCCGACCGTTTTGGTTATCTTAGCAATACTAATCATCCCATTTCCCAGTATCTTTCTTATGACAATGTTTCGGCTTCTTATTGTTCCTTTCTTGGCAAGCTCGAGTTGTACTCTATTACTCGCTCTGTATCAGAGGCTTTTCAGAATCCCAAGTGGGTGGTTGCTATGCAGGCGGAAATGGCCGCTTTGGAATAAAATAAGACCCGATAGCTTGTCTCTTTATCATCTAGTGAAAAGACTGTTGGTTGAAAATGGGTTTTCAATATTAAGTATCTTATGGATGGCATTGTGGACCGCTACAAAGCACAGTTGGCTGCCAAGGGCTTTACACAGGTTCCTCACAAGGATTTTGGGGCTACCTTCACACCTATCACCTAGCTTACCTCTTTCCGTCTCCTTGTTTCTTTTGCTGCTTCTCATTCTTGGCCTCTCCATTAGCTAGATGTCAACAATGCATTTCTCCATGGAGACTTACTTGAGGCGATTTACATGGATCCTCCACCCGGGGTGGAGGGCGAGTATGCGGGGAAAGTTTGTCGACTATGCAAAAACTTTATATGGTTTAAAACAGCCTCCTCCAGGCCTGGTTCAGCCGCTTTAACTCTGTCATTTTATCCATGGAGTTCAGATCATACTCACTTCATCCGCCAGAATTCCACCGGTCAGTGCATTGTTCTGCTTGTGTATGTTGATGATATCATTCTCACAGGTAATGATTCAGTCAGCATAGCTCAAGTAAAGAGGGATTTGAGTCAGGCATTTGATATAAAGGATTTGGATCCTCTCAAATATTTTCTAGATATTGAGGTTGCTCGCTCTCGTCAAGGGATTTCCTCATCCCAAAGGAAGTGCGTTCTTGATCTTCTTCAATACAATGGTATGTTAGGGAGCAAACCTGCTCTACCCCTATGGATCCTAATCTCAAGCTTACACCAGAGTCTAGCGAGTTATTAAAGGATCCAGGCATGTATCAGCACCTTGTTGGCCGCCTCGATTAACATTAGACCTGACTTGACATTTGCAGTTAATATTGTAAGTCAATTTATGCATGCACCTCGTGCAGAGCATCTTGATGTTCATCACATTTTGCAGTATTTGAAGACTTCTCCTGGTCTGGGATTATTTTTCACGGCTCTCTTATTTCACTGACACAGACTACGTAGGGTCTAGAACTAATAGATGTTCCACTTCTGGTTTCTGTACTTTTATCCTATATCAAGGAAAAGTAAGAAACATGCAATTATTTCTAGATCTTCTGTTGAAACTGAGTAGAGGGCTATGGCACAAGGTAAATGCGAGGTTCTATGTCTTCGTCTATTCTAGCAGAGTTAGGGTTTGAAGAGAATGCTCCTTCCTCTTTGTTTTGTGACAACAAATCAGCTATTACATTATCCTCTGATTCAGTATTTCATGAGTGGACTAAACACATAGAGATTGACACATTTCATTCGAGAAAAAGTTTAGACTGGTATTGTGAGTCCATCCTTTGTCTCCTTTTCTGAGTAGCTAGCTGATATGTTCACAAAGTCTGTTGGTCCAACATTACTTCAGTCACCTATTGTCAAGCTAGGTTCGTTGAATGTCTTCGCACTAGCTTGAGGGGGAGTGTTGGAGTTAGAATTAGAATTAGAATAAAATACACCGTGATTGTGCAATTACGGTATCTTAGGCAACATTATTGTAATTATGATTTCTTTCCTATTTTGTATATTCTCCATCAATATAAATATATGGGTTAGTCTCTATTCTAGACAAGCCATTCAACTCATTATATGCAATTCAAACAACGCATCTACCTGGATTGTACCCTCTTGGACCTTTCTTTACAAAAATAAATAAATAAATAAATAAAAAGAGAATGAAAATGAAGAAAATCGATCACTAAAATAGACCAGTCAATAGTTCCAATTCATGTATGGGAAATAGATAACTTTATAGAAAAGGAAAAGACATGAAAATGAAAACATCATCGTAAGTGTGACACATGGAAGGAAGTGCAAAGTAGTCAATTTCAGAGATTAAGCTGCCTGCAGATCAGAGGGATTTTCAATTTCTTTTACTGACTTGGGTATAATAGCAAGAAAGTTAGTATGACAGCGTGAAACTCCAAGGAGCATATTGACTTAAATGGGTGCATAGCAAAAACTGGTCATCTTCGGACTGGAGTAACACTTAGCACCAAAGACAAGATCTAAATTCAAATAAAGTACGCAAGACCTAATGAAGCTGATGACAGTGGTAAACAGGTCTTTATTGCATAAACAAACAGATTGCTAGGACTTACAGGGTTGTGCATCTCTTCACTCAGCCCAAAATTGACAAGAATTGAATTGACAAACGTTGACAATTGATGTAACAGAAAAGATCCTGCTCCAACCTGACATAAAACAGGAGATAAGTTTACCGACATAAGACATTAAACAAAAATAAGAATAACTTCCTAACAACACTGCTAAAGCAAAAAAGCACTTACCACTGATCCATATAAAGTGAGGTAGAAGACATTTTTCCTGCCAGTTGGTAACAATTTCATCCCCTAGATCATATTTCAGCAGTCCGTTAAGATATGGTATACAGGAACAAGTAGTGAAACTAAGAAGAATCACAATTTTAATGAAATCATAGCACTTGCATACAAAACAATCACATGCTTCAATAAAAATAATAACATTAGGGTTTCATTGTCAGTTTTGAGCTACAAAACAGGCTAACATACTGGAAACAAGCATGCACTAGCACAGAAGCACCCGTACCAAAATAAAATTAGTGAACCTGAGCCCCTTTCAATTCCAACAAATCTAATGTGGGAATTGCAATTTCCACTTGTCAACACAAATTATAAGAAGATGCTTAAACATAAACAACGGATTGTTGGATTCTTATGAAGCCTCTGCACAGATTATACTCTTCTCAAGATTCTGCCAACAACCTTTAATTAAGCTTATCATAAGAAGAGTTAGAAAGCTATGCATTAATACCAAACTGAGAAGCAATTCAAAACTGTCCACGACAAAGCTGGAGTAAATTAAATATCCGTAGAGGGACTCATGGATCTGTTTTCTCCAGTTGACTATTTAAAACCATTGCCCAGTTGACCATCAGTAACAAGCTTTTTCTTTTTACATCCCTAATACTACTAGAATCTCGCTATTTCTATGTTTTCTCTTACAATGGCACCTCTTTGCTGACAAACCCTCTAAACCTTTTTGTTTATGAGCACTTCTAATAATCATGAACCTTTATTGAACCTTAGTCTTGTTCAAAATAAAAATAATAATAAAATAAAATAAACTTTTAACCTTATTTTCTCATAGAACCTTCCACACCATGAAAACCTTTAGACCATTGTTGGTTATTAATATCATTATTTTTGTTATTTTGTGAAAATTTTGTAAAACCTTACTTGGTTGGAACTTTAATCCCTCACACCTTTCAGCACTACTTGTGGTTGTGATCCCTCTTTCCAACAAGAGCATATACAATCCCACTCTCTTTACTTTGCTCCATAAAGTCATTTGCATTGAGAAGCAAGAATCAACACCCCTTTCTAGTGCTTGTAACATCATCATCTCTCATGTGTTTCAACACATGTTTTTTCTTCTTATCACTGTCTTTCACGAAGAAAGGGTTGGTGTTCAAAGTACCATGCATTGTACCTTAGTCATATCGCCAAGGATGTCCAAGTAAAATATGGCATGCATCCATGGGTATCACATCACAGTACACAACATCTTTTAAAGATCCCATTGATAAATTAACATGCCATCTTCAAGAAATAGTTACCTCATTCCCTTCGTTGAACCAAAGAAAATGATACGGTTGCAGATGGCTATCAGTTTGAGTATTAACTCATCTACCATCTCTTGAGGAACCATACTCTCACTACTTACACTATCAATAATCAGGTTGCGAAGCTTTCTTCCTGTTATAAAGTGCATTCAAAAGATATTCTTGTGAAGCCAACCATACTTATTGTTAATAGGTGGCTGAAGCATCTGTTGTCTAATCACAAGTAATTTGCCAGCCACATTACCATCAATTGCTTCTTCCTCAACATCATTTGATTCCTTAAATTCAAGATGTTGATTCCCATCTTCAATAAAAGAGACATTTTCCTCAAATATTGCTTCTTCATCCTCAAGATTGACACTAATTTTTGGATACTCATTGACTTATGTGTAATTTTGAAGCATGGATAACACTTGTTAGTCATTTGGCCTTGAAATTTTTGTTGTGTTTGGACAGCCTTTTCCATTACCAGTGTACATTTGTTAGTTTGGAGTCTAGACACATGGAAGGAATTGTTTGCCAGCTTCGAGCAAGATTATTACTCAACTACTTGATGCACCACTGTTGTGACCATTACTAGGCCGTTCTAATGAACCATGAGTGAGCTGAGCTTCAACTTTCAGTGCAAGCTGATAAGCATCACTCACTTTATAAGGTTGTTGCAAGCGTACTTGGTCTAGGATCACTAATTGAATACCATCTCAACTAACCCTTTTGGCTCTCAATTTCAGTAAGATTACTTCTTAACGACATTATTGAAACTCTTGAGCATCGTTTTAACTTGCAATATCGGCCACCATAACACTGTTGTAGTGTAATAGTACTGGGAGTATCAACCAATGTGTAACGAAAATGAGAAACCGAACTCCTGAATTTTTTTCAGGCACTAGCAAGCGCCTAAAAACTCCTTGATAAGCATGTTCTGACCTTATTTATCACAGTTTGAATGTTTGTAATAGTTTCTAATCAACATTGTAACACCTAAAACCATTATTTCTAAAAGATATTGATTTTTTCTATTTTAGCAATAGAGCTACTATAGAAATCATTGCCAAATACCGCCCAGTATAATGTTAGTTTTAAGGCAAAAACTGGAGAATATCATCTAGTAAGGGAATTTTACTCTCTAGAAAAAGATAGAAATGCTACTAAAATAGATAATTTATAAAACTAATGAAAACATATGCCAATATGAGTTGGTACAAAGGTAATATAATAATAAAGGCAATAATAGTGGCCAATACAAGGCATGCTACAAAATACTACCATCTATACCTTATTAATTCATGAGTTCACACCCACAAAGGGAATGACGTAGAGGATCTTGATAGAGTTCATATGTTTAACACTTTTTTTAATTAATAGAATACCATTTAAAAGTTCATAGTCTAGATTTTAGTAAGATAGATCAAGGAAACTACGATTAACAATTAAAGAATATGAATATGAAGAATTAACAAATATATAATATAAAAGAACTTAAAAATATTAGAGTTAATGTTTAAGAAAGATTCATATATATTAGAGTTACTGTTTAAGAAAGATTCGAATATTTTGACTTAAGAGTTTAACTTTTAAATATTACCTTTAATAGATAACAAAGATAAAAAGGAATATATGTTACTGTAATAATGTTCAAAAGGAAATTGAAACGAAATTTTAAAATATATAAAACATAAAATATTTTTAAAAACAGTGGTTGTAAGTGTCATAATGGTGATCCTCCTATTGTTGAGGCCTTTCATCACTAGAACTATCACTTTCTCCTCCCATTGCCAGAACTATCAAAGTGATTCTCACCTTCAAACTTTGAGATACAAACATGCACCATACTTTGGAATTTATTAGAGCATGTACAAAGTTATCCTCCCGTTTGAGGGCTTTTATGGCTAGAACCTATGAAGCACGGGTACCCAAAAATTATGTCGTACAAGTGCCGAGTACGTATCCAATATAGGTACACATACCGGTACAAATGCACGTGTACTAGGTACACGAAATACGTATCCATCACTTTAAAGAAAGAAATTAAATGGTAGGTATGGCCCAAGTATGGCATAGGTACTTTTTTGGGTTAATCAAGGCATATCGAGCCACAAATGTTTTTTTTTTTTAAAGGGCGAATTACACTAACAGTCCATATAGTTTGGAACTCGTGTCATTTTAGTCCCTGATTTTCCAATTGTGACACATTTGACCCTAAATTTTAAATTTTGTTTTAAATAAGGACAATTGAAGATACCATTGCTCAATTTCAATGGCAAAGTCGTCAATTTGATAAAATATAACTAATTTGACAAACATAAATGTCAAAAAATATTTTTGAATTTTTAAAAATTATTTCTACCCACCAAAGATAAAATTATGTAAAATTGATAAATTTTTTACACATTTATTTATTTTACTTTATTACAAAATTAATTTTTATTATGTGCTTGGATGATGATCATGTAATGGGTGGTTGTAAGGCTTTTAATATGCAATAAATATTTTAATATATGAAATGTTTTTAGTTTTAGATTTTTTGATTTAATGGATTGGTTTAATAATGATGTCAAAATTGTCGTCATATTTGACTTTTGGAAAAATAGAAATTAATTTAATGAAAATAAAAACAACAATCTATTATATGATCATCTATTCTTGGAGAGTCGAAAGGAAAGAGACTCAACTTTAGGGAAACTTTGGTGGTAGAGAGAGGAGGTCCAAGCGGTAATAAAGACAAAAAAAAAGAGAACTTTAAAAGTGGCAGAATGATAAAACTGAAGAAAATCTTAAGCGCTACAAATTAGCCAATAAGGAGGTCAAAAAAGTAGTGAGGGAGACTAAGTTGAAAGCCTATGATGACCTATACACTATACTAGATAGTAAGGGGAGAGAGAAGATGATATACAAACTTGCTAAGATAAGAGAGAGGAAAACAATCGATTTTAATTAGGTTAAATGCATCAAGGTAAGGACTCCAAGGTATTAGTTATGGATGAAGAGATTAAGGAGAGGTGAAAGAACTATTTTGAGAAGTTGTTAAATTAGGAACATGGAGGTAGGTCAAAAGGTGAAAGTAGGCAGTAATAAGGAACATCAAGACTATAAGTTCTATGGTAGGATTAGGGACTTTGAAGTGGAGTTTGTACTTAAGAAGATGAAATTGAGTAAGGCTTTAGGACCCACGATATACCTATTGAAGCATGGAAATGTTTAGGTAAGAAGGGGGTTGTTTGGTTGACTAAGAAAATGCTAGAGGAGTGAAGGAAGAGTACTTTAATGCCAATATATAAGAATAAAGAATTGCAACAACTATAGAAGAATCAAGTTAATATGTCACACAATGAAAGTGTGAGAGAGAGTAATGGAACATCAATTGCGAGATATACCAGAGGTGTCAGAGAATCAATTTGGATTTATGCCTGGTAAGGTCAACAATGAAAGCGATCTATCTTTTAAAGAGAGTTATAGAAAAGTATAGAGAAAAGAAAAGCGACATTCCTATGGTTTTTATTGATCTAGAGAAACCATATGATAGAGTGTTTCGGAATATCATCTAGTGGGTGTTAGAGAAGAAAGGGGTGACAAAATTTTACATTGATGTGATTAGGGATATGTATGAAGGTGCGGTGACCACTATTAGATTGCCTGCTGGAGAGACGAGTGAATTTTCAATTACTGTAGGGTTACACCAAGAATCGACTTTAAGTCCTTATCATTTCGCTTTAGTTATGGATGAGTTGACGCGCAATATTTAGGATGATGTGCCATGGTGTATACTTTTTGCAGATGATATCGTGTTGATGGATGAGACTAGAGAAGGAGTTAACACTAAGTTGGAGATTTGGAGAAAAATACTCGAATCTAAAGAATTTAGGATAAACAAAACTAAGATAGAGTATATAGAGTGTAATTTTAGTAACAGTCACAATAGAAGTAGAGGAGAAGTGAAGATTGAAAACTAAGAACTGCACAAGAGTGAACATTTTCATTATTTAAGATCTATTATCACAATGACTAGGGAGATTGGAGCGGACGTGGTCCACATAATTAAGATAGGGTGGCTTAAGTGGAAGAGTGCGCATGGAGTATTATGCGATAAACAAGTATCCATTAGACTAAAAAAGAAGTTCTATAAAACGGCTGTTAGACCAGTGACGTTGTATGGGACGGAATGTTGGGCAATTAAGAAACAACATGTAGATAAGATGAGTGTTGTTGAGATGAGGATACTAAAGTGGATGTGTGGCAAGACTAGGAAAGACAAAGTTAGGAATGAGTATATTCGAGAATGAGTAGGAGTAGTACTGATAGAAGATAAGTTGAGAGATAATAGATTGAGATAGTTTGGTCTTATACAACGGAGATCAACAGAGACAATAGTGAAGACATACGATACAGTGATGGTCAATAGTAGTGTTAGGAGAAGGGGTAGATCTAGATTGATGTGGACTAGTGTAGTGAATAAAGATATGAATCTTCTTAATTTGACTAACGAAATGGCCTTGGATAGAACCGAATGGAGAAAAAGAATTCATACAGCCGACCCCATTTGATGGGACTTAAGGCTTGGTTTGGTTTGGTTTGGTTTGGTTTTGTCAAATTAGTTTATATTTCATCAAATTGACGACTTTGCCCTTGAAATTGAGCAATGGTATCTTCAATTGTAAATATTTGGAACAAGATTCAAAATTCATGGTCAAATGTGTCACAATTGAAAAGTCAAAGACCAAAGTAACACAAGTCCCAAATTATAGGGACCGTTAGTATAATTTGCCCTTTTTTAAATAGAGGGATATTGGAATAAATATAGTCTCTATACTTTAATACTCCAAAAAATAAAGGATATTTTTGCAAATATCACAAATTTGAGAGAACTCTTAACATTCTTTTTGGTCTCTACGGATTGAGCAATTGTATCTTTATCTATCAGTTGAGTTTCAGTCTCTCTCTTGATAATATCCCTCTGTCAGTTAGCATGATACTCTAGTTTGCACCTTACTTTAACTACTATATACATTTGATTTCTAGTTATTATATATCATGCACTACTACAAATTATAAAAACATATATTTTTTTGGACATATCCTAACTATACCCACATTCTCTTTCTTTTAAGTTTTGTTGTATCGGTGTACTCGTATCTGTGCTTCATTAGCTAGAATTATCACTTTGTCCACCCATCACTAGAATTATCACTTTCTTCTCCAAACAAGAGATTGAGTTCATTCATTCTCAACCAACCTAACACAATTAGATTCATGGTTGCTATCATTTTTACGGTTTCAATCTTTATTTTCTTGCATAATGATGCAACAATAAAATGAATAGTACCCAAAAAAAAAAAATAGAGGAAAGAGAGAGGAGAAGAAGAATAAAATTTTGCCCACAAAGAGAAATATACGCAAAAACTGTGTATTTAATAATATGCCAATATAAAGCCATAATAGTTCAATATAAATCCATCCCATCCATATATATAGGCCTACAAGCATCACCCAATAAGAAAACACAAAAAATAAGAATAAAAATCCTAATGAAATCAAAACTCCCAAATATATTTAAAATTCCTAAATAAACCAAATTTCCTAATATATATCCAATACATTGCCATTCCCCATCATATAATCAAATTAAGTTTTGAATTTGTTCCTGCAGCCCTTCAACCATTTCAATTGTTGCATATCTACCTCCCCACAACCACAATCAATGCCTATGAGATAAGAGCAAAACTTTCACAATGTTTGCTCCTTAGGATGTCAGGATCAAATTTAGGCTTCAGCTGATCTCAATAATCAATAAGACCCTCCCCAAAAAGTTTAGTCAATAGTTTGGTTTAAAAGAGGATCTAAACAAAACCAAACCAAACAACTTTGCTTATTAATGATGTTCATTTGCTTCAAGAGTGTCTGGTGTCAAAATGGGTAGTGAAACAAGTTTAAAAGGTACAAAACTGAGCAATGGAAGCTTTTATGCCAAGAAGCATGAACACTTCTGCGAGGTAAACATGTCGTGTTTGACACTTATTCAACATGTCTTAATTAAAAAATCAAATACATAAAATAAAAGTTTTACCAACACTTCGCGGGCGCTTCAACAACACTTCTTGAACCATGCAAACATGTCCTATGTGATGAATCCCTTTATAATAACAACGTTTTGAATTCTTCATAATACAACTTATGTACTCTAATATGTTTTGAAACATTTATAAGGTTAACACATTATGTGTATTACATAATTGTTTTGCATTGTGTAGAATATAATTGTTACTTGAATGATATCTTGATGTTTAAGTTATGAAATATATAACTTTTTAATGTAATTAGTGATATGCTACATATTTTTCATTATACTTAAATAAATTATTCATATATATATGACAATTAATAATTTGTAAAAATATATCATTTTAACATGTGGCAAGCGTGTCATTTCCTGCATATTTTGAAAATCGACGTGTCAAGGTGTCCATGTCATGTTTGTGTTTCTGCTACTTAGCTTTTCCACCTTGCTTTCAACTTTGCAATTGGCGGGGAATTAACAGATACTAACTTTGAAGCATTACAGCACAATAAATGGAAATAGCTAAACCACTCTATTCTCTATCAAATAAGTGGCAAACGAAATTCAATCTCCACCCCCAAACAAATAAGTAGCCAAGGAAGTTAAAGATGAAAGTACAAGTTCCATGAACACTACGAGAATATATCATATATAATTGAGAGGCAACACAAGGCATTCCACTTGTTATATTCTCACCCTCCATCCACAATCCACCACTAGTAATCTCAATTTGTTTTTCATATTTATTAGTACACCGCACTACAGCTAGCAGCCCCTTTACTAGTGATTGGTTTTCCATAATGAAACGAAATGCTTATCTTGGGAGGCGATAATAAGATTATCATTTTTGCCAATGAAATAAACCCCAGATGTTAAGTAAAGACTTTGAAAGCAAGACACAAGTAGAGACGGACAGAGGGAGTGCAGAAGGAGAGAGGAGATAGAAGAAGTCACATTGACTCCACTGTTTTAGACCTTATTGTTGAATTTTGAAAGTAAAATGGATTCATGGGAAAATATGACATTCTAAAGGCATCTAGCAAGTAATAAAATTGCAGTAAACAGTACTCATTTGGCAAATATTCTTCAATATATCGAAAAGAATACTTTTCCATTCTCTTTATCTTTCAATTCTAAAGCTAGAGAAGGTCAAAAATCATAACATTATTCTTCTTCCCATCTCTTCTCCCTTGAAGCTATCATGAAATTATAAAATTAAATAAAAATAAATATTTTAAAATAAAAAAAAGGGCCACACAGGTTACAAGATTTTTTATAGCATTATTCACATTGCCAATACAACCAGTGAACACCAGTCTACTTTTACTCTTAACCAAGGTTCAATTTTCAAAAGATTTCGTGATTTCTGTACAAGTAAAGAAGTCAATTTTGATATTTGATGTGCAATAAAATTAAGTTTAAAACCTTACAATCAAGAGGTCGCACACCATATGAGAATAAAGAAGTTAGAGCAAGTTGAAAAGAAACAGATCGAAAAAATCAACTACTGTACAATGCCACCAAATCCAAATACCTGAAAAAGAAGGATTATAATGACAAGCAAGACTCCAATAGCCATTGAACTGCTATAATAGAAAGGAACCCAACTGCTGACCACTGGTGCCAACAGCAATAAAACAAAGCCAAAAGCAAGACAAAGTAAACGCCATCTTTGAAAAACTGCACAAACCATAAAAACCATAGATAAACATCGAGAGAGAGAGAGAGAGAGAGAGAGAGAGAGAGAGAGAGAGAGAACAGAATAAGAATTTAGACCCAAGAACCAGGAAATAAATGCCTGACCATCTTCAACTGCCAATGTGACAGGACCAGAAATTTCACCAACGAACTTAACATCAACATATCTGTCCTCATAAGGTGACATGACAGAGCTCCAAAGCCCCTTCTGGACAGCTTTCCATTCATCCTTTTCACATTGACATAAACCACGTGAAGCATTCCTGCAAATGCAAAACACTTCTTGAGTGAGACAATATTCTCAACCACCATAACTACTAAGATATCAGAGATAGAAAGAGGAAGCTCAAGAGCCAAAAGTCCAGGACAATTCACTCACTTGTGAAAACAAATCTGAATTTTGTTATGTGATCTCTCGGGAATTACTACAGATGGGACCAGAGTAACCTGATATGCACTAGCGTAACTCCCAAGTTTCAATCTTGATTGACCAGCAACTCGAATGCGTTCACACAATAAAACATCATTAGAACCATGAGAAGACGATGCATAACCAGCAAGAAGAGATGGAATGACATCAATATTTGGCTTTTCCACATCAATGCCTGCATTTCAACATTTGAGGCAATTAATTTTCAAATAAGGACATAGACAGTAAATATAAAAACTGAGATAAAAAGGAAATGAGGTGTTGCAAGATTTTGAGAAAAAAACACAATACTTAAATAAACCTCTCATTCGGCCTTTGTAGTATATTATATCCAAATATAGACACTACAAGTTTAGATGTGCTATTAATGTTGACTTGAGGAGGACTTATGATTCCATTATTTGAAGTTTCATTATGGCTGCTCTTGAGGCTATGAAGTTTGCTGCTAAATTAATCACCTGGATTAAGGCCTATATTAATTCCCCTGAAGTCTCAACCAGTATTAGTGAACTTCAGGGGTATTTCAACAGTAATAGAGGCACAAGGCAAGGAGATCCTATGTCTCCTTATCTTTTCATTATTGTTATGGACTTCTTTCTGGTATGTACACAAATTGTGCAGGGACACACCTTTAGATATCACTGGAGATGTGGTAACGAGAAAATCACCCACCTGTGTTTTGCTGACGATTTGATCTTATTTTGTAAAGCTGAGTTAACCTTAACCTCTACGGATGTGATAAGTAAAACCATGTCCCAATTTAAGGAGCTATGTGGTTTGACTCCTAATCCAGAAAAGAATGATATTTCTACATCAGCTGCTGACAATGAATTCTATTTTTGACTGTTTGAGGGTTCAAAGAGAGTAACTTCCAGTTAGATATCTTGTTGTCCTCATTTCAAATAAGCTGAAGGTTGATGATTCCAAGCCCCTCATTGAGAAGAGTGCAAAAGGAAAAATCTTGGACTAATAAGACCTTGCCTGGGGCCATGGGCTGCCTAGAAATCTTACAAATGGACCATTAGATTCTTGGTATAACTCTTATTACTGCATTTCTTCTACTCTATTTGGATAAAAAGCAATGCTATAAATTTTCAGAATAGCTGTAACGACATGAATACACTCTAAGGACAAGATTGGCCATGTTTGAGATAGATGGAGTAGTCTTCATGATTTTGTGTTTTTTTTTTTTTTTTTTTTTTTTTTTTTTTTTTTTTTTTTTTTTTGTATTTGTAGGTTTTCAAAGTCTTTACACTCAAATGACATGAGTAGAATGAATTTTGCAAAGCTTGCATGGATTTTTTTGAAGAAAGGATTATCCAATCAAATTTAGGAATAAAATCTAGAATTTTCGAATTGGAATTTCTTTGCGCAGCAGTTGGTATTTTGAGCATATCCCCTTATTACGATATTGGATGGAGATGATTCCAGCAGCATTGGGAAGCTAACTCAAAGGGCTACAAATCATTATCTCATAATAATTTCTTAATTCAGCCATATTTGAGATTAAAAATGAAGACCAATTCTGCACACAGGACAGATTGCATTCCCCAACTTTGAAAAATCATATTTCATTCATTTCAAATCCAAACCATGCAAATCTTGTGTCTAAATTGAAACTCTAGATATCTAGTTTCAGATGAAACTAGCCACATGTCAAAATTTGAAGTGTAGAGTGAGATATCAATGAAAGATCATATATGACTCAATGTTTTCAACAACTAACCACTAAAAAAAAACAACGAATCTCTGCTAATTTTTAAACACTTTATTCCTAAAACTTGTTGAAGAACACGCTTTTATTGCATTTTATGAGAAATATGAATTACATATCGAACCCGTGTAATGCACACACAAATTATAAAATAAAATAAAATAAAATAAAAAAGCAACGAATCTCCTATAATTTTTAAGCACTTTATTCCTAAAACTTGTTGAAGATCACGCTTGTATTGCATTTTATTCCACTGCACTAAATCGATTATAAAACGAATTGCCAATAAAAAACCTACAATAGCAGGTTTTCCATCAATTGAAAGAGGACAAAAGAAAAGTGGAGTTTTTCTGGGAAAACAAACGAGAGGGTTTGCGTGGGGAGGAGGAGATGCGAAATACCTTTAAATGTAGTGACGGTACTGGAGCACGATAAGAAGAAAGAGAGCAGAACTGAGAGAGAGAAGAGAAGAGAGGGAGGATGCGGAAGACCATAAGAGCCCATTTCTTCGCTTGCTCTTCTTCACTGCTCTCACTTTCCTTCTCTTTCCTTTTCCTTCTCTTTCCTTCTCATTTCAATTTTTATGTTTTATTTGGGGAACCGCCTTCAACCTTTTGCGTCGCCACCAAGCATTGTTCCTTCTAAAATTTTATAAATCCGTGTGATGATAAGAGTTAAATCACCGCATGGCACTAGCGTAAATTCTTTATCACAAATATATTTATATTGTTTTAATAAAAAAATATGAATTAAGATATTATTTATATTTAATGAAATAATTTTTTTTTGTATTTGTATTAAGATATTTATATATAAAATTATTATCAAAAGAAAAATCTCCATGCATATACCGGTGGTTTCATTTGCGCGGAAAATTTTATTGAGAGAGTTAGCCTTCGTTTGATTAGAATTTCAAATTATAGTTTTACCCATTGATTTGAATGTGTTGTTTGTTTTGAGTTTTTAAATCATAATTTTATATTTATTTTTCAAAATTCAATTCAACATATAATCATTATTTTTCAAAACTCATAACCAAATAAATAATTTAAAACTCTTTTCAAAACTTAATTCAAATCAATATTTTAATTTTTTAAATATTTAAATATTTTAAAAATATTTTAATTTTGTTAAGATTTTTTACAGGAATCTTAATACATTGTCTAAATTTATCATGTTTTTCACATACGCGTGTTCATACATACCCTATTCGGAGAACCCCTAAAATCCAACCTGCCTAACCAAAGGACTTACCAAGGATAGGGACGAAAGTGGGTGACTAATAACAACGTGGAAAGACACAGATAGAATTTTGACAGATTAAGATGACAGGTAACAGATTAATCAGAAAGAAAACAGAGCAGATTTGTCAGAAGTAGCAACGCAGTAAGTGATAGATAGCAACATAGCAATATTTTAAATTATTTAAAATATTTGAATATTTAAATTATTTAAATTTTTACGATTTAAAATTTTTGAATATTTATTTTAATTTTTTACTTATTAAATTTTTTAGATTATTTAAATATTTATGATTTAAATTTTTTGAATATTTATTTTGAAAAAAAATTATTTCCTTTGTAGTATTTTCAATTTAAAATTTGATTAACGTTATTTTCTGTTAATAATATATTTTTTAATTGAATTTTAAAAAGAGTTTAGTTATGAGTTTTGATCAGAATTTTCAATAGTATGAAAATAGTGTGTTTTGTTATGAGTTATAACAATTTGAATTAAGTTTTGAAAACTCTTTTCAAAACTCATAACCAAACAAATTTTCTTACTTCACATGTCAAATCAAACTTTCAAAACTCTACTCCACACTCAATTCAAAACTTAATTTAACACTTTATTCAAAAATCATAACCAAACAAATTTTCTACATTCGAATTATAACTTCACAACTCACAGACTCAAAATATAACTCATACTCTCAAATCATATTTACAAAACTCTACCAAACGCAACCTTAGTTTATATAGTTTTAAATGAATAATCTAAAGAAAAATGTTTGATATTTCAAAAATTTGTGGCTTAAATCTATCAAAACGATGTCGTTTTACATTCAAAACGATATCTAATTTGAGCCATTAAATTTTTAACTACCTAGCATTGTTGTAATTTTAAAATAGGATTGCAAATATATAATTTGTTATAATTTTAGGTTTAATGTCGTCTGTATTAATTATCTTTTTTATTTATTTTTAATGGGTTTTGATAACAAAACAAAATGACAAAAAGAAAATAATTAAATTAAACAAACAATTTTTTTTAGTTGAGAAAAAGAGTTATAGTTAAATATCAATAAGTATATATGATTGAGAATTATGTTTTGCTGTGAAGAAAAAAAATTAAATAAAAAATTCTGTTGCAACCCATAAAAAAAAAAAAAAACTTAATTAAGGTTCTTATCCAAAAAAAAAACTTACCCAAAAAAAAAAAAAAAAAAAAACAAAACAAAACAAAAGGGCAAAGCACCAATAAATCTCAAAATGTGATATTGTGAACGATTTAGTCCTCTCTTTTTTCTTATGTACTCAAAAGTCCCATTAAAGTAAAAATAACAAAAAAAAGATAGTCATTTACAATTTTGGGTTTAATTTTTTAGGAATAAAAGTGGGCTTATCAAAATATAAAATCACACATTTGAACAATCTGCACTATAGAAGTTTTGGATTTTTCTTCATTCTGAAACAATCTCATATTATGAACAAAAACGTAACGCTCTAATGTAACACTCTAATAATGTAACACTTCAATGTAACAAACTAAAGAACTCCATGATATACTTTTCTCAAATGTAATAACGTAATACAAAAAAAAACTTATTAGTGTACTTTTTACAAACGTAACGCTTCAATATAACACACAAAAAAAAAAACTTTTTAGAGTATTTTTTTCAAATATAGCATTTCAATCAATGTAATTCCAAACGTAACGCTCCAATATAACACTCACAAAAATACTAAAAAATTCCTTAGTGTACTTTTTTCAAACGTAACACTCACAGATTGAAATTATACATTTGCCCTAAACTTATTAAGGAATATTTGTACTCCTTTTGGAATAGTTTGAATAATCCCACATCTTTTTTTTTTTTTTTTGAGTGTTACATTGAAATGTTACATTTATAAAAAGTACACTAAGAATTTTTTTGTATGTTACATAAAAGTGTTACACTAAAGAGTTTTGTGTGTTACATTAAAGTGTTACACTAAGGTGTTTTTTTGGAGTATTATATTAGACTGTTACGTTTGGAAAAAATACACTAATAAATTTATTTATTTATTTATTTTGTGTATTACATTAGAGTGTTACACTAGGAATTTTTTTTTGTGTTACATTAAGAAGTTTTTATGGAGTGTTACATTTAGAAAAAATACACTACGATGTGTTTTTTTTTTTTTTTTGTGTTACATTAGGGTGATACACTAAATTTTTCTTTTGAGTTTTACATTTGAGTGTTACATTAGAGTATTACAGTTTAAAATTATACATTTGGCCAAAACTTACTAAATAGTTTTTATACTTTTGTGAAAATATTTGAAGAATTAGATATCCTTTTGGAATGTTTGAAGAATCTTATATTTCAAATCATTTTTGTATTGATTTTGAAATGTTTTTCAAATAAAAAAAATTTCATATAAAAATTAATCCAAATTTGATCCCATACATTGTATACTTTACCCTTCTAGCACCCAAAAAAAAAATATATATAGAAGGAAACATAATAGAAATAAATGTATAACCGTAAATCTAATTTTTAAATAATATATTAAATATGTCTTTCTAAAATCAATGAAACTAATTGGTGTATAAGAAAATCCTTAAGACTAAATAGATCACCATTCTTCAAGATAGGATTTATAGGTAAATTTTTTTTTAAAAAAAATTCAATACCAAATGTAGAAGATAAAAATGCATTAGAATTGCATAAAGATACACAAAATTAAATGTTACACAAAAACATACAAATCCCAAAATTATGTGAAACTATACTAAAATATACTCAAAAGATAATTTAAGCACAAAAATATAGTGAACACTCAATGGCCAAGTTAAATTAATTTGAAATTCTCAAATTAGAGAAAAAAATTTAGTCTGATGGAAAATTCTTTATGAAAATGATACACAAATAATTTCTTGCACTTTTTTTTTTTTTTTTTGCAATTTTCGTACATAATATTTAACATTGATGCAATAAAATGAAATTGTAAAATTCAAAATCTTTCTAGCTGTCAAACTTGGGTATTTTATTAAAAATAAATAAATTTATGATGTCACTTGCAAAAAAAAATTAATTTAGACAAAAATTACAAATATGTGAAGCATTTCACTCATATCTAAAATAATATAAAATTCTATATAATATATATATATATATAGAGAGAGAGAGAGAGAGAGAGAAACATGGGTTAATCAGAGAAGACTAAGATCATTGGGTCTGAGTTTAAAAAGTAATTGAGAATTAATAATTTAGTATTCATGTTGGTAGCCAAATCTCTAGACTTGAATACAAATGACCATATTTGATTTTGTCAATAGTTTTGCATATGTTTACAATCAATTAAAACAAAACTATTTAAATAAGAGGAGGGAGATGTGAGATTTGATAATATAGATTATCTTTATACATTCAAATCTAAATCTAAATCATCTTTGTTTTAAATTTTTGTGATAAATGTAGATCATCTTCATATAGATTTTCAATTCAATAGTTTCTAAAGAAAATAGTTTTTATTTTAAATGGAAGTGAGGGAAAATGAGTGATGAGTTGAAAACTTGACGTAGAAATAAATGTCACATAATTTGTTTAAATTTTAGATTTTAAAAGAAATTAGGAATGAAGATTTAAAGGCTTATAGATTTTCATTTCAAATACTTTTGAATTTTTGAAGAAAACTTGGCTTAGAAATAAGTGCCACGAATACATATTTTTAAAAAAAAATTATAAAAAAAAAATAGGAATGGAGATTTAAGACCTATAGATTATCAATTCAAACATTATTTGATTTTTCGAATAACTTTTTTTTTTTCTTATTGATAAGTGTGGAGGTCTAAGAACAAACCAACTACATTTGTTTATATATATAGTATAGATTACACGCAGGTGAGGAAAGGGGAAAAAAAATTACCAATATATGGAGATGTGTTAGTGACATTTGCACCTCTATAATTTTTCATTTCCATCCCATCACAGCACTCCTATATATTTGCAATTTTTTTCCCCTTCTACAACTTGCATTCCCCCTATTTTATTTATCTCAGTACATAAGTGGTGTTTAGGAACATTAGGGGTGTTTGGAAAGAAGGTCGGGTTAAAATAACTCATTAAAAAATAAAATAAATTTAAATAATTAATAAGACAAAATGTCATATCTTATTCATAAAAAAAAAAGTCAATCAACTTCTCAAACATAATTTTTTAATCAAACTAAAATAGCTAAAAAGTTAAATAACCAACTTCCCATTATTTGTGTCATAATTCTAAACAAAAATCAACTATTCAAACAAAAATCAAGTTTAATAGTTGATACCCAAATATTTGTATTTTATTTAAAAGTAGTTCAAACAAAAATCAAGTTTAATAGTTGATACCCAAATATTTGTATTTTATTTAAAAGTAGATATTTAAACTT